AAGCTCAAGCAGGTTTCTGCACTTCTTATAAAGAGCATCAGCCATCAAAGTGAAATCCACAGTCATGTTTCTGACATCTCCCATTGAGAAGGTGAATTTTAAGTATTAACTGACATCTGCACAGCTGAAAGCACAGCTCATTTGAAAGCAGATTCTCACACAAAGATGTAAAGCAGCTTACAACATGTAAACATTTTCTGTTTGTGAAACATGCTATCAGCTAAATCACTGGCCTTTGATTACCTGGGCTCCTACTCTAATGGAAACCTAAAATGTAATTAACCACATTCACTTACTTCTAGCAAGGCTTTCTGAATGCCCCCACAAATCAAGCTAAAATCAGACTTCAGCATCTTTTAAGTCTCATGGAGAGCAGGCCTCATTACAGCCTACTGGATCCCACCTATGCTATGCTCCAGCAAATACCATGTGAAATCACTATCACACATTCAATTACAACACAGAATACAGAGTATACATTGCTCACTTTATATTATTTTTATTACAAATATTTGCACTGTAAAAAAAGATAAACAAAACTTGTTTTGTCTTAGCAATTGGCTGAACAAGAAGTAGGACTGAGTGGACTTGTAGACTAAAGTTTTACATTGTTTTGTTTTTGAGTGCAGTTATGTAAAAAAAAATTCTACATTTTTAAGTTGCACTTTCACAATAAAGAGATTGCACTATGGTATTTGTATGAGGTGAATTGAAAAAGACTACTTTTGTTTTTCTTTTTTTACAGTGCAAATATTTGTAACAAAAAATAATATAAAGTGAGCACTCTACACTTTGCTTTCTGCATCGTAATTGAAATCAATATATTTGAATAGTAGGAAAAGCATCCAAAATATTTATAATACATTTAAATTGGTATTCTATTATTGTTTAACAGTGCAATTAAAACTGCGATTAAGAACGATTAATTGTTTTAAATCGTTTGGCAGCCCTAGTTTTAGAACATGTGAGAGACCAGAGACCTTGTTGGGAACTGGACACAGCCCATAGATTGAGGGTATCTGTGCTATCTACCTGTTTTAGTCCCAATACTATCCAGAGTGATTTTGCAATATTTTAGCTGGAGGGAAAAGCTTGAGGACAAAGGTTATGTTTACATGATTTGCAGCTCAGGCAGACATAGTCACACTAACTGTAGTCTAGCTAGCTCATTAAAAATAGCAGTAAGGGTGCAACGGAGCAGTCTTCAGTGCCAGCCGCACAAGCGAGTACATATCAGCGGGATGGGGGGTGGCAAGCAGGCTTGTGCAGTCCACACCGCAGAGTCCTCACAGCTATTTTTTAGTGAGGTAGGTAGAGTACAGCCAGCACGGATATGTCTAAGTGAACTGCCACTCGTACCAACGGCTGCAACGTAGACATAGGTGTCACCCTAAGACCCTCTCAATGCCAATTGGCAGTGGGCCCGTTGTTCTGTGAATTTCCATCAGACCGGACACACTTATAACACATAGTATTTAGGTGTAATCTGTAAAGAGTGCCCTATCAAATGAAAACTGGTAACACACTGGTCAAAAATATCATGGTGTGATGTAAGTACAGACAGCGTGCACAAAATTAGGTGTGTGTGCTGGAAATATGTTCCTAAAGTGTGTTTTGGAGGCAGACTTTATAAACACATTTGTCCTAGACAAAGCAGTATTGATTTGCAAGTGTCTATAGCGTAAATGGAGCACAGGAATGTCAGAGACGATGGGCAGTTCGTTTGCATCGGAGGTAAACATCAGTTATCAGGAGGATGAACACACTGCATGGCATCAGCACCCTGGAGAACACCATATGTTGAGCCCCAGGGGGTCAGCGTGACTCTTGAGACAAAGACAATGAACCTTGGAGAATATAAAGGCGAAGCAAAAGGGCATCTTGTGATCCATCACTAAGGGAACAAAGAGGTCAACACTCTTTGCACCTATGAATGGTGGATCCCCATCTACGTAAGGTGGTGACACTGAAAAGTAACTGGAGGTGAGAAAACTGTTTTAGACAAAGCTTGACGCCTGCTAAGGTTAGATGTAGTCACTTAGAAGCATGTTATACTTCTGTTTTATTTGTAATCAGTTTCTATTATCTCTACATAGTATCACTTTGAATTTATTCTTGCTTTATTATAAATCCATCTCAGTGCTATTCTATTAAGTGAAACGTGCACCCTTGGCTGAGCCAGGAGGCTGGTGTGTATTCGGTCTCTCTGGAGACAATGGATTTGTATTTCTGTGGGTGCCCAGTGACAAGTCTGGATGCTGCAGGGGAACACTTCGGGAGAGTTCAGGAACTGAAGTACACCAAGAGTTAACCTGCAAGGCAAAGTTAGGACTGGCAGAGTCCTGAGGAGTTTGTTGGGCTGGCTAATGGACTGGAGCATCAGGCGGCTGAAGTACAGTTTAGCAGCAGCAAATCTCTCTCACTGAGGCAGAGGGGTAACAAGGCAGCTTACAGTTCAGGATGCTCTGAGAAAGCATCACAGGGTCCTAAGCCTCAAGTTTGACCAGCCTAAACTCTGGGACCACATGGTGCCACTCGAGCAGAGTTCAGGAGAGCCCTTCTTTAGAGATGTTAAAATATATCAAATCATCTGCTATTTAAAGAACCCGTAAGCTTAAGTGGTGTCTGTGTCTCTTCAGCCAAAGTTTCTCCTGTTGTGCAACTACAGCCTTTGGTTTGCTGTTGCCCTCCACTCAAGAGGAGGTTGACTTTCCTCTAGTGTCTGTGTACAGCGTAGGTTGTGACGTATCGGTGTCCCTTGTACTGGGACGCTCACTCTTGTCATTAAGACACTGGACTGACACTCAGGAGACCTGGATTGAACTCCTGGCTCTGCCATCGAATTCTTGCATGACCGCAGGCAAGTCACTTACTCTCTCTGTGCCTCTATTTACAATCTATACATGAGGAAATACTTCCCTACCGCACAGACGGTGGTGAAGTCAACCTGAAATGCTCCAGTGTAGTGGTGATGGAGGACATATAAAAATACATAGGCAAAGAGGTGTTACACACTTTTAAGATCTTTTGGGGGAATTAACATATGAAGAACATTGTGCTAAGGTTTTATACCTTCCATTGCCGTTAACTGTTAAAGGAAAGAACATATAGGCTTCCCCATGAAGTCTTCGGTGAAATTGCTTCTACACAGGTTGAAATGGTTGTCAGATTATTCATTTCTCCTTTAATAATTTACAAGCAACCTCCAAACATAATGTTTTATATGTTGGACAAATGTGTGATAGCTACTTGTACCTACCTGTAGTCACTAACCTACGAGAGTGATAATTATGTCTTTTTCTATTCTTCCTCTCACCTTTCCTGGCTCTTCCTAGTCAAGTCGGTTCTTTTTCCTCCTTAGTCTTTTATGCTAAGATCAAAATTTGTTTAGCGTCATGAACTGGAATATATGAGACAACATCCAGAACAGCAGCACTCCACTTTCCTTGGCTAATTTAACATTGAGTGCTAAAACTACTCTAGACCACTTCTTCAGCATAGTCAATGCATTGCATATAAGTACACCGATTAGCCATTTAGTATTAAAGCACCCAGGAAAAAAAAAAAAGAGCACTTTACAGTAATCTAACAGCAATAACCCATTTATCCCAATTCCCTTTTTACAGGCTGTTTTTAATCAATGTGATCTCATCAGTGTTCTGAATTGTGAGGGAAGAAAAACTGCAGCCGGTCATAAAAGCCAGACAGCAATGGAGAGGGTGCATGACTTTTCAAAGGAGCTGATCACCTGCTCTCAGATTTTCAATGGGTTTGTTGGCACTCCACACGTCTCAAAAAATGTCATTCCAGACCTAAAGAAACAGGGTAGCAAACACAAATTGAAGGTAGTGTGCTGCAGAATACACCCAGTGAAGAGAGGGCAAACATTTTACACACCCACTCTTTAACCAGCTTGCTCATTTTCTGTTTGTTAGCAAGGGTTAGGAAGCAATACAAGATAAATGAATCTTTTATTCAGTTTCTTTGAACTTCAGGCACTAAAAATGAGTGGGGCACAGAGAAGGAATTTAAGAAACTAACTGAGAAGGGACCCACATTAATTTCTTCCCTTCCCATTCAAAAATTAGTTTAACAAGGAGAAGTCACTATGGTCTTCTTTTGCCACTGCCTATCTAAGATCTGAAAGAGGAAGGCTTTTACCCCAAGCATATCTTTCTTAGGGTTAATTTCATGGTGCGGGGCAGGAGGGCAAACTTAAACTTCTTAGTACTTGGTGAGGTCAAAACAGGAGCGGTTGTGTCGAACCAGGTTCACTCCCTTTCATTTTCTTTCCTAGGGTTACTTTCTGTCATTTTCAGTTTCTGTCTGTCCAATACTAAACCTATTTATGCTCTCTGTATGTCATAAAGGAGCCAAATTAAATATGGAGAAAAGGAAATGAAACAAACCTGTTTGCATCCTGTTTGCCCTGATAAGAAAACCAGCCTAAACTAAACACACCCAAAATGTGTTCTTAAACCTATGCAAGGCAACTATTTGTGAAATAGTTGCTCAATACATAAAACAGCAATGTGCCTCCACACCACGAAAGACATTGGGACTAAGTTTAAGTCATCGCCAGTGGAAAAGACAGGTTCACAGGAAGATGCTAAATCACCTACAGAAGGCCACTAGCTCAAAGACTCTAAAACATGACATATGCAGCCGTCGTTCTGAACCAGAGATAGGGGATCTTTAAATTATTAGGGTAATAAATACACCAAGACCCCATTGTGCTAGGCGCTGCACAAACACAGAACAAAAGACAGTCCCTGCCCCAGAGAGCTTACAGTCTAAGTATAAGACAAGAGGCAGCAGGTAGACACAGACAGAGGGAGGAGTACAAGGAAACTATGAGACAATATTAGTCAGCATGATAGGCAGGGGGTACCAGCCCACCAGCAACCTAACACTTACCAAGTTCGTTTGCAGACATCACAGCAAAGGTGAGTTTTAAGGAGAGATTTGAAAGAGGATCGTAAGTAAACTTATAACCTTACCTCTGAATTTTTTGGGTGGGTTATTAAGATCACCTGCTTCCGGCTGCACAACACATCTATCGTCCACAAGGCTGCAAAGAAATGAGCAACTCAGGTAAGACGTTTTTGTTTGCAACTGCTACTTCCTAGGTACCAGACACAAAGTGGGTTGCTTTCAATACTCAATCCTGCTGGCCACTTCAACGGAGGACAGACAATTCCCAGAAACCAACTCATGCCAAATCTTTCTATGAAGCATGCAGCTAATTTGTTTGTGTTGTCCAGAACCACACTGCTGGACAGGCGGGACAATTATTAAGTTATCACTCCTGCTCAATGCATCTTCCTCATGTCCCCTCCTGGGGAAACACACAGACTGGTCCATATTCTAATTAGATGAGCAAAGGCTATACAGCAAATGTCACCTCTTGGACAGATACCACTATTTGAGAATATGTAATGAACCTGTCCCCATTAAAGGGCAGCAAACTAGGGAAAAAATGATGAATGCATCAGATCACATATTACCCCCAGTGAAGCCTCAGTGTCCAAAAAGCCAGGAACAAACTATATTAGCATAGGGAAAACACACTCCCGAAAGAGAGAGGAAGGCATAATTGATGCATCCTTGCTTACCAGTCATCAAAAGGTAAAGGTTTCACCTTGGAGCCAGATAGCCAAATATACATCACTGAAAAGAACCGCCGGGGTCAGGTCAAAATTGGCTTAATTATGGAGGAGTGGGGTTTTTTTGGTTTGTTTTTTAAATAGTCCAGTGAAGGTTGGTACCAACAGAAGATCAATCTAACCTCCTCCTGCTTTACCAGGAAGGGGGTAGAATTGGATAACTGCACCTGTAAGGCGTTCCATCAGAGAGTTCCAATAGAGAGCTTCTTCTCTGAGCGTGTACTGGCAAAGACATGGGGGCGTGTCTACTCCCAGGGAACGAAGGAAACAAGGTAAGTATATTGCTGTAACCTGTCAAGTCTTATGCCTTGGACATTTTTTAGACCATCTGGAACTATATTTTTGCTGAACACCTCTATTTTTCATATACAGTGAAAACGTCTCAGTAAACAAATATTTTAAAGTATCTAGTTTGACCTTCTCGGCTCAAATTAAGGCCTTTCCACTGACCTGTCAAAGAGGCTTTCAACATGTGCATAAAGCACAGTTCTCCCCAATGTCCTGAAGGTTTGGGACACTCCAGTCTCATATAGTAACAGCTGGGAAAGACAGCTTGAGATCTAGAATATGAGAACTGTTCTTTGCAGAGGCTGGTTACATGCAGGGAATGTCTTTGAGACAACAATTATGGAAAATCGTGACGTGCATAGAAAATTAATTGATTCAGAGGTGTTTACATGGACTTAAGAGAAGGTGAACTTCCTATCTATACTATGGTAGATTATCAAAATAAAGAAAATAATTTTCTAGTGTGTGTAACACACAAGATGAGATTTATATACATACTAAAATAGTAATTAGAATAATCAGAACACTGAATTTGGAAAATAGCAAAAAGGAAGTTCTGATTAAGCAGTGAAGACACGTCACAGGAATATTAAACAAGAACATCCTTCAAAGATAGATTTACTTGGATGGAACAGCATTAGGATTTATAACAGTATTTGTTTTCCATCCTTCATTAACTGTATGCATAAGCCATCACACACAGCATAACTTGGAGTTTTGATAGCCTGATATCATAACAACTGAGTACGATTACATTGATTTTTTTCCTGAGCTGCTTTAATTTTCTTCAGGTCAAACAGTAAGTGAACTATGGGACAAAGATAATTTGACTATGAAGGGATATTAAGATGCTAATGCATTTCATGTTTTACATAGCAATTGGGATTTCTATTTCAAATCTGGCTCAGAGTACACGTGACCATTTTACAGTACAATTACCTTAAAATATTGTGAATGAATTTGAAGCCATGGTGAAAAATAGCTGCCCTCAAAACCATAGCCAGTTGTTTATTGTGCACTGTATTTAATTAAAATGTACTGTCAAATCAACTTCCTGCTTTGTTTTTTTAAACTTTATTTACTCTTTGGGTTACCTTAACAATAGAATAGATAGTTAAATATATTTTTCAATTAACTTCACCAATGTTCAGCAAGTAGTATTTGGCCAGTTATACAGCTGGTCGAATGCTGCAAAGAGTATGAATCATATTTGAGGAGTACCTGGGAAATTTGTCAAATACATTCGCCAAATACTATTCGACCAACCCTACTTACTACATGCTTTGCTTTTATCATACCTTCTTTCCCTTCTGGCAGCATCCCATATTTTCTTCTTTTTCCTATAATAGATCATGGTGCTTCTTCAGTGCCTGCTTCTTTCTCTCCCACTAATTTCCCTTTCCCCCTTCAGTTGCATTCTCTACATCCTAGATTTTCCTAACTCCATTTTTCTGAGTCCCTCCCACTGCCGTATCTTCCTCCCCATAACGTATTTATCTTTTCTGTCTTTCAGTCATCTCCCTCCAAGAGATGATTCCATGCACCCACTCATCCCCATACCTACTCAGAAAGTTTAGCAGCTATTCCAGAACCCTAACAGTTCGAGGACTAAATCTACAAGTTTGTCTGGGGCAACATCCAGGGAAGATGCCAACCATCACTAGCTGCTGGAAAGTGGGGAGAGGGGATGCTGTCCCTTTCCCCTGCTCAGAAGCTTAATCTCTTACATACATCTGGACAGTAGGAACTGAATTAATTTGCAGCCACTATCACTGCCTCACCCACCCCCAGGTCCCAATGACTGCTGGAAGGGAGAAGCAGTGTGTCTCTCTAGCCCTCATCCCACCAACCTTCCCGACTGTTACTTTACCATGGCAACCAGGAAGCTGAATGAGCAGTAAACTGTCTACCAGTTACTCTGCCCTCCCTCAGCATTCTGACTGCTGTGAGGAGAAGGTATCTGCTGTTACCCCTCTCCCAGCCTTCACTGCTTTGTCTAGTGAATAGCTCCAGTGCCAGTCTCTGATGTGAAGAGCTGTCCCCAAGCAGCAGTAGAGTGAAATTAAACAGGTTTGTGTCATTTTTTAGACAAAGCTTAGATTCTCCTGGAGTTGACGACACTCACCAGGGGAAAGCTTCCTTGCCCTAGAAAAGTGGCTACCTAATGCTTGTTGATTAAGGAAGCAGCCTGGACTGGTTTCTGAGAAGACTCGCTGAATGGCTACTCTACCAGGAAACATGTAGTATGGCGTTTGTCAGGGTGGACAGGCCACCAAAGAAAGTGCACCAAGCAACAGAAGCAAGCAAGTCAGGGCTACCGCCCAGCAGCAAAAAAAGTAAATACCCTTGAGTTGGAGAAGCGTGATGTTGTTTACATGAGAAATCTTAGGCACGTCGGAAGAGGTAGGACCAGTCATTAGTGGTAAGTACTGGTACAGATGCGATTTGACCTACTCTTTTCTTTTAAAATGTCTAAGCTGCCTTCCATTCTCCATCAGCAGATTATGCCAAGGGGCCTGCTCCTTCCCAAGCAAGAAGCACACTTCCTTCCTCACATCCCTCTCCCCGTAACTTAACCGTGGCAAGCTGTTTGCCCATCCCATGGTAAAACCATACTATTTCCATTCCTATCCCCTCCGTCCTCTCAAGTGATAGCTTTCTATCTGCTATATTGCTTTGGGCGATTTTCAAAACATGACAAGTCTTTACAGAAGACTCCCCCAACTTATTCCATTATTTATGGGTGCAGGAAACACCCATATCCATTAGACTCAGGACTACTAGCTCAGCCTTGTCGGTCTTCTGCACAGCTAAGGACATCTTTCAATGGAAGAGAACAGCTTCCCTTACCCCAAGGTGCTGATAAATCCATTCGTTGAGCCCTCTGCATATAGAGAGCAAATGTCTCCAATATGAAGGAAGCTTGACATCTTGTCAGACATTTCCGGCTTGTTGGCCCTAGGAAAAAAAGAGAGGGAAAAGGAGTGTTAGTGTATTTACTAGGTAGAAGAATTCCCTGAGTAACAGCCTCATAGACAACAAGCCAAAAAACTAACAAAAAAATTCCAAAGAGTGAACACTTGATGCAATTCCAAGAAAGTGCTGACTTTAAAGTGATAAAAGCATTAAAAAAAAAAAAAAAAAACCACATGAGTCTAGTCACCATCTGGCCAGCTGAACAACTCTTTGATCTGGAGATTGATGTATTGGAGACAGGAAGTTTGGACTGTAGTTTCTACAGTTAGAAGAGTATTTCCCAGCCCATGTTGCAGTGAAAACTTAGATAGGTACCTCAGGGCAAAGACAACTTGAGCTCCACAGTGTCCCATTCAGTGATTTTTGTTTACCCAGTTTATCATACAGATGTTCACTTAAAAGATTCCATTCCAGGCACATTCTCATCAGGTGGAGAATGGGGTTAAAGAAAAGGAAGAAAGGAGCAGATCCCCTTAATTTAAGGCATTTTACTTACAGTATTGTTCTAAACCAGGAAAGATTTCTCTCTGTAAGCCAGTTGTGCTAGTTCCAGATCAGACTTAGTGCATTCAGGAGCAATTTGAAAGTGCCCTGGGATATAATGAAATGATGGTCACAGGAATTTTAATGTAAAAGTATTAGCATGGTTTATAAGTATTTTTGTCAGCTCCATCACTATATGAAGTAGCTACCATCTTAACAGAAATACAATGTTAATGAAGACATGTGGGAAACGTTATTGTAGATAGCAACAGAGGGTCCTGTGGCACCTTTAAGACTAACAGAAGTATTGGGAGCATAAGCTTTCGTGGGTAAGAACCTCACTTCTTCAGATGCAAGTAATGGAAATCTCCAGAGGCAGGTATAAATCAGTATGGAGATAACGAGGTTAGTTCAATCAGGGAGGGTGAGGTGCTCTGCTAGCAGTAGAGGTGTGAACACCAAGGGAGGAGAAACTGCTTCTGTAGTTGGATAGCCATTCACAGTCTTTGTTTAATCCTGATCTGATGGTGTCAAATTTGCAAATGAACTGGAGCTCAGCAGTTTCTCTTTGGAGTCTGGTCCTGAAGTTTTTTTGCTGTAAGATGGCTACCTTAACATCTGCTATTGTGTGGCCAGGGAGGTTGAAGTGTTCTCCTACAGGTTTTTGTATATTGCCATTCCTGATATCTGACTTGTGTCCATTTATCCTCTTGCGTAGTGACTGTCCAGTTTGGCCAATGTACATAGCAGAGGGGCATTGCTGGCACATGATGGCATATATAACATTGGTGGACGTGCAGGTGAATGAGCCGGTGATGTTGTAGCCGATCTGGTTAGGTCCTGTGATAGTGCTGCTGGTGTAGATATGTGGGCAGAGTTGGCATCGAGGTTTGTTGCATGGGTTGGTTCCTGAGTTAGAGTTGTTGTGGTGCGGTGCGTGGTTGCTGGTGAGAATATGCTTAAGGTTGGCGGGTTGTCTGTGGGCGAGGACTGGCCTGCCTCCCAAGGTCTGTGAAAGTGAGGGATCATTGTCCAGGATGGGTTGTAGATCACTGATGATGCGTTGGAGAGGTTTAAGCTGAGGGCTGTAGGTGATGGCCAGTGGAGTTCTGTTGGTTTCTTTTTTGGGCATGTCTTGTAGCAGGAGGCTTCTGGGTACACGTCTGGCTCTTTTGATTTGTTCCTTTATTTCCTTGTGTGGGTATCGTAGTTTTGAGAATGCTTGGTGAAGATCTTGTAGGTGTTGGTCTCTGTCTGAAGGGTTGGAGCAGATGCGGTTGTACCTCAGTGCTTGGCTGTAGACGATGGATCGTGTGGTGTGTCCGGGGTGGAAGCTGGAGGCATGAAGGTAGGCATAGCGGTCGGTGGGTTTTCGGTATAGGGTGGTGTTAACGTGGCCATTGCTTATTTGTACTGTGGTGTCCAGGAAGTGGACCTCCCGTGTAGATTGGTCCAGGCTAAGGTTGATGGTGGGGTGGAAGCTGTTGAAATCATGGTGGAATTCTTCCAGGGTCTCCTTCCCATGGGTCCAGATGATGAAGATGTCATCAATGTAGCGTAGGTAGAGAAGGGGAGTGAGTGGACGAGAGCTGAGGAAGCGTTGTTCCAGGTCAGCCATAAAGATGTTGGCATATTGTGGGGCCATACGGGTGCCCATAGCGGTGCCACTGGTCTGGAGGTATATATTGTCACCAAATTTGAAATAATTGTGCGTAAGGATAAAGTCACAGAGCTCAGCAATAAGTTGTGCTGTGTCATCATCAGGGATACTGTTCCTGACAGCTTGTATTCCATCTGTGTGTGGGATGTTTGTGTAGAGAGCCTCTACATCCATGGTGGGTGGCTAGGATGGTGTTTTCTGGGAGGTCACCAATGCATTGTAGTTTTCTCAGGAAATCTGTGGTGTCACGGAGATAGCTGGGAGTGCTGGTGGCGTAGGATCTGAGTAGGGAGTCCACATATCCAGACAGTCCTTCAGTGAGAGTGCCAATGCCCAAGATGATGGGGCGTCCAGGATTTCCAGGTTTGTGGATCTTGGGTAGTAGATAGAATAACCCCGGTCGGGGCTCTAAGGGTATGTTGATTTGTTCCTGTGTTAGTGTAGGGAGTGTCCTGAGTAGATGGTGCAGTTTCTTAGTGTATTCCTCAGTGGGATCTGAGGAAAGTGGCCTGTAGAATTTGGTATTGGAGAGTTGTCTGGCAGCCTCCTTCTGGTAGTCAGACCTGTTCATGATGACAACAGCACCTCCTTTATCAGCCTCTTTGATAATAATGTCAGGGTGGTTTCTGAGGCAGTGGATGGCATTGCGTTCTGCACGACTTAGGTTATGAGGCAAGCGATGTTGTTTTTCCACAATTTCTGCCTGTGCACGTCGGCGGAAGCATTCTATGTATAGGTCCAGACTGTCATTTCGACCCTCAGGAGGAGTCCATGTGGAGTTCTTCTTCCTGTGTTGTTGGTGGGAGGGCATCTGTGTAGATGTTTGGCAGCAGATTCTCCATGCAACAACCTAAAGATTCCAGTTGTGGTTTTCCAGGAGTCTAAGTGATTAAACAGACTTTAAAATATACACTTAACATGGAAGTCAACCCCCTATGAAATGAAATTCAATTCTGTGCAAAAGTGCCAAAACAATCATAATCATGTTTAAGAGACAGTCACTCAGTGTTGCTGACTCTCACCATTTTAATCCCAAGTCTCAGATAACTGGTGTTTTCTTCTTAAAGCCCAGGCTCCTGGATTCATGCCATTATGTGAGAGTCTGAGCTGTTACTTTCAAAAATGAAGGCACATTTCTATCCCTCATGGCATAGGTGCTGGAAGGTGCAGGAGATGCTGCCGCACTCCCTATTTTGAAGTGGTTTCCATCCTATACAGGGTTTACAGTTTGGTTCAATGGCCCTCGGCACCCCCACTATACAAATTGTTCCAGCATCCCTGCCTCACAGTCACAGAAAAGAGTTTCAAAGTTCAAAAACCAGAAGGCAAATAAAAAGAATTCTGAATTTAATATTTGTTCAGATCTCATGAATTTTAGCCAGCCTGACAGTTGTTGGGTGGTGCCTGACTCATGGTTTTTCAACAGTTGGGTCACTCTTGGATTAGTACCCTGAATGACAGATTTCAGAAAGAAGGTAGTAACACAGCTCTGCTGATTTATATGCCCTTGGAACCTGATCCTGCACTCTTGAACGCATAATGGAGCTGTGCCAAAGTAAGGTGCTCAGGGTTGAGCCCTTAGTTTTAAGAGGACAAATAAAAATACTCCCAACCCTCGCTAACCGGCAATATTGTTCTTGAGAACTGACATGTAAGCGTCACAGTAAAGTGGTCCTCCATCAGGAGGGAGAATTAAATAGCAGGAAATTACACTTATTACAGAGCACAGCCTTGACATTGTGAGTGGGATAAGCATTCCCATTTCATTGAACATTAACTTGTTTACTGCCAGAGGTAGGGTTCAAGCGTATTAAGCAAAGTCTGGGCTCAGCAAGCACAGAGTTAGGAACATTTGTGGAGGGAGGGGGATTAGCAACTGCTAGGCATAATATGAATCTAGACTGCGTTTTGTCTCCTAAAACAACTATCCCTTTACCATGCTCCAAACCAAGGTTCTTGTGCCTTGAAGATACATTGTGATTTGCAGAATTAAAAATTCCAAGTCAAGCACAGCTAATATCAAGGGGCCAAGTTCATAACTGACGTAAATTGTTCAACTCCTCGGAAGCCAATAAAGCTATGCCTGCTTATGGCAGCAGTGTGCTGGCTAAAGGCTCCTTCATCAACATTAACTCATACAGCCACAGTGTATACCTGATGCATAGTCCATTCTTGTTTCTCTTCGCAGAAGTGGAGCTTAATATTTTGAGGTTTTAAAACATATGCCCGAAAACATATATGATATGCAGAGTGGTTGAGTGAGCTTCAGTAGAAATATTATCTTTCCCTTTTCCTTGGTTGGATTTCAACTGCACACTTCAGCATTATGACAAGATTTCCAGATCTGGGTTTCTGAAGTCAGGCTCCCCAGTCCCTATGTAGGCATACACACATACACCCGGGCACGTACAATGAGGACCACTTTAAATTTACTGAGCAAAACACTGAAGTCAGCGGGAGCTGCAGATACTCAGCACTACTGGGGGGGCGGGGGGAATCCGGCCACGTATTTCAGTCCTTAAATATGGATTTAGTAGCCTGACTTTATGTAGTCAGGGTTGAAAAAAACATAGCCTTACTGTATTGTAGCTTTTGAGTATACACACACACTAAAATTTTCAGTTATAAAAAAACAAAACAAAACAAAAAAAAAAAACCAACACATGTCCAGAGAAGGATGGACTTGGGTAGCAGGAACTGGATAACACAGGACGTGAACTACTGTTCCCACAGCAGTGCACTAGTTATCTCCCCAGGGAAGAGGCCTTTAAGATCATTTTACTTTAGAAAAGGCATCAAATGTTCATCACAGCTGTACGCTGGAGAATGTAG